AAATGTCCGGTCTTCCCTCATCATTCTGGACCTAGAACAATTGAATTTTACAAGCCTGTATCCAGCATGCACGTCCCATAAAGAAATATTCAAAGTTTCTCAAAAGTAAGAGACAGCTTATGCAATAGGGGTGCAAACATATTTGTAGCTAAACCTAGGAGCACTGATAGTGTAGGATTTATGACTAGGAGGCTTTATTCATTTAAAAGTACAACTCAAAAATAGAAAACCTGAAACCCTCCACATCAGGAAAAGGAGTATTGCCATTTTTGTTTGTAACACTTCCCTGTGCAGAAATTTATCAGAGTCATAAACCCTTAGAGAAAAAATCAGATAGAATAGATGTAACACAATCCAGTTGAATCTAATTCTGTTCTTCCACTAGTTTATGCTCTCAAAAAATCTAACATTCTGTAAAGGTGAGTAGAACAGGAAGTCATCCAGCTGCTAATAAGCTCAGATACTATCCCAGTCTTGGACCATGGCTGATTATCTTCTTTAACTGGCAGTTAAATCCTTCTAATAACTTATAAATAGTATTCTGGTTAAGCTTATATGCTTTGGACTTATATAGAGCTAAGATCCAGATTAAGTCTTATTTCTGCCACTTACTACCTTACCTGAGGCAAGGTACTTATTCTCTCAGAAGGTTGTTATGAAAATTAAACAAGATAACTTAGTATCCAGTTATCTTGGTGTCATGGACTGAATTGTGCCCCCCAAAATTATTGATTTGGTTAGGCCATGATTCCCAGTATTGTGTGATTGTCTACCATTTTGCCATCTGATGTGATTTTCTAATGTGTTTTAAATCCTATCTCTATGATGTTAATGAGATGGGATCAGTGGCAGTTATGTTAATGAGGCAGGACTCAATCTGCAATATTAGATTATGTCTTGAGCCAATCTCTTTCGAGATATAAGAGACAGAAGGGAGCAGAGAGACATGGGGGCCTCCTACCACCAAGAAAGCAGCACTGGGAGCAGAGTGCATCCTTTGGACTCCGGGTGCCTGTGCCTGAGAAGCTCCTACACCAGGGGAAGACTGATGACAAGGACCTTTCCACAGAGCCAACAGAGAGAGAAAGCCTTGCTCTGGAGCTGGCTCCCTGAATTTGGACTTCTAGCCTCATAGACTGTGAGAGAATAAATTTGTTTGTTAAAACCATCCACTTGTGGTATTTCTGTTACAGCAGCACTAGACAACTAAGACACTTGAGTACCCAAGATGTCTTGAGTACCCAGTATGGTACCCAGTGCATTGTAGGTGATTGATTAATTGTAGCTATGAGTACTATTAATAATAAAACAGTATAACAGGATTGTTAGCTATGAGTACTATTAATAACAGAACAGTATAATAGGATTAAAGTAATTTTCTGAATATGTAGTAGCTTAGGCTGGTAAATTAGAAACATACATATTAGAAAGAGTAACTGTGCTTATTTTAAACATGATACATTTACCATGTATAATTGGAATAAAAATTATTTAATTCTCTGTCCCTTCTCCAGGCCTCTTGGCCATATTCAGCATATGTCTTAGTCATCTAATGCTGCTACAACAGAAACACCACAAGTGGATGGCTTTAACAAAGAGAAATTTATTTCTTCACAGTAAAGTAGGCTAAAAGTCCAAATTCAGGGCTTCAGCTCCGGGGAAGGCTTTCTCTCTCTGTTGCCCTTCTTATCAGTGTTGCCCCGGACTAGGAGCTTCTCCACGCAGGGACCCCGGGTCCAAAGGACACGCTATGCTCCTGGCACTGCTTTCTTGGTGATATGAGGTCCCCCTGTCTCTCTGCTCACTTCTGTCTTTTGTATCTCAAGAGATTGCCTCAGGACACAATCCAATCTTATAGATTGAGTCCTGCCTTACAAACACAACTGCCACCCATCCTCCCTCATTAACATCACAGAGGCAGGATTTACAACATACAGGAAAATCACACAATACCAGGAATCATGACCCAGCCAAATCGATATGTACATTTTTTGCGAGGCATAATTCGATCCATGACAGGGTGTATTATTGGGAAAGAAGAGAACTAGAGTATTTTTAGTCCAAAAAAGCTATGATTTACTTGAGAGCAAGAAGGAATAAAGAATAGAAGGGTAGGGTGGGAGAAAGCAAAGAGGAGCCTACATGGTATAATGTGAGAGGCAGTACTGATGGAGAATTGCAAAAATGTGGGTGGGAGAGAGCTTCAAGAGGAAGCCTCAGGGTGTGAGAGAGGAAGAGAAAGACAAATAGAGGAAAGAATTTCAGAAAAATTGAATCTTGAGAAATTCCTCTTGAGAACAAATTTAGCTTTTCGAGTGCTAATGTCAGTATTGTTCACTGACAATAGTGATGTTCTCTAGGAGATACAAGGAAAGATTGGAATTACTTTTATTACTTCTTGTTGCAGGACAGAGTCCTGGCGGTGCAGTGGTTAAGAGCTCGGCTGCTAACCAAAAAGGTCGGCAGTTTGAATCCACCAGCCACTCCTTGGAAACCCTATGGGGCAGTTTTACTCTGTCCTATAGGGTCGCTATGAGTTGGAATCGACTCAGTGGTAATGGGTTTGGTTATTTGGTTAGTTACAGGACTGTTTTTCTTCTCTTGTAACACGGTGTCAAATGTAGGCCATAAAGGGTCCTAGGATATATTTGGGTTACACATAGACAGAGAATCAAACCCCATAGTTATATGAGTTTCAAATAAGTTACCATTTGTTGGAAATTTTGAGGCAAGCATAGGCGAGCTTATAGCACAGACATTCAGTCCCTGCAATTTCTCAGACATTACAGTCACTGTCTACAGGTTGGACATATCCTGAGGAACATGTGCATTTTCTCCTCTAGACTTTGCCTTCCGTCTATATACTGCCATCAGCTGGTTTATGGTACTGCTGGTTGGATACTGAAGTGAACATTAGTTGAGGAATGGATATCTTTAGGGGAAATATGCTTGGGAAACATTGCACTTTGTAATATTTAAAATAAAATAAGGTAGTGAATTCACATAAAAAGTGGAAAGATAAACTCAAGAAAAAACATTTTCTACATCCTAGAAATGACAATAGTTATATTAATTATAATAAGTTACCATTCGTTGAGTAAGTTTATAAATATAGATAATGATACTCAGAAAGGGTATGTAATTTGCCCAAGGTCACAAAGCTAATAAGTTGTGAAGCTGAGTTTAAAACTTAGGCTTTGCTTCCAAAGTTCTTAACCATCATGCTATATTACAAAAACAACACAAACAAAAAAAACTTTCATTTTCTGAACTGTATTTATAGTATATACTCAATATAGAAAATCTTGAAGGCAAAAAAAAAAAAAGATAAAAAGAAAATAGAACTTACCTGTACTCTTGCCCCCAGACATAACTATGGATAATATTTTGAGTTATTTTCTTTCAATCTTATCTCTTTGCTGATTTGTAGCTTCTTGACTCAACTTTAATTATTCTGTTTTTGTTCTTTCTAAGCCTATTCTCCATCAAGTAGAACAAGTCCCAACATTTAAATACTGCAGAGAGTACCTTGTTACTTCTTAATTACCAAAAAGCACAAAGCCTTCACTCTACTTGGTCTGCCTTTTCTCTAAATTAGTCTGTCTCCTCTCTGATCTTCTGAAACCAGGATCCTCTGAATTACTCTTCCCTTCTCAGTGCCTGAGTTGGCTGTTATATTAACTAGAGATTCTTCCCTTGTGTCTTGGATTGAATTGTGTCCCCCAAAAATATGTCTATCAATTTGGCTAGGCCATGATTCCTGGTATTGTGTGATTGTCCACCATTTTGTCATCTTGATGTGATTTTCCTATGTATTGTAAATTCTACCTCTATGATGTTAATGAGGTGGGATAGGAGGCAGTTATGTTAATGAGGCAGGACTCAATCTACAAGATTGGATTGTGTCTTGAGCCAATCTCTTTTGGGATATAAAAGAGATTAGCGAGCAGAGAGACAGGGGGACCTCATACCACCAAGAAAGCAGCACCAGGAGCAGGGCCCGTCCTTTGGTCCCAGGGTTCCAGTACAGAGAAGCTTCTAGTCCAGGGGAAGACTGACAAGAAGGACCCTCTTCAGAGCTGACAGAGAGAGAAAGACTTCTTCTGGAGCTGACGCTCTGAACTTGGACTTTTAGCCTACTTTACTGTGAGGAAATAAATTTCTCCTTGTTAAAGCCATCTGCTTGTGGTATTTCTGTTATAGCAGCACTAGATGACTAAGACACCTTGGATACATCTAATTAATCCCTTTAGCTGCCATGAGAAGTGACTCAATAACCTGACTCTTTAATAAAGGCAGACACACAGACCCACATTCAAAACGTGACAAGCCATGGAACACAATAGTTACAAATTAATCCTAATGGGTTTATTAAAAATTATCCTAATAAAACACTAATCCTGGCTAATGGCATAGGCAATGGACATGCCCTTACAGGCACTGATTTAAGATCTAGATGAATCTGAATTTTGATCCTGGCTCCACCTTTTAGCTGTGAAAATTACTAAACCTCTCTAAGCTTCAAATTTCATCAGCTATAAAATGGGGATAACCAAAAAATAGAGTTAATTTTCCAAAGCTGCTGTGGGATTAAATTATATAGGGTTTGTAAAATACCTGGAAATAATCACTGCTTATTATGTTGTTAATTAAATTTATTACTTTATTGAAATATTAAAACAAATTGCTTTAATTAGAAAATTATTTTCATAGATGTGTACTTACTATCAAATATTACTTGCATCCACATGATCACATTTAATCACCATTAATTTGTCCTAACTATTCTCTTATCTCAGTTACTGATTACAGGGATGAAAAACAGTGACAAAAGTGAAATGATAGGAACATATAAATTACATCTAGAAAAACAAAATCAATGCAAGATGTGCAGTCATAGAAAGTAGAAATGAAGTAGGAAAACACACACACACACACACACACACACACACACACACACACACACACACACACACACACAGCTAAGTTATGTCTTCCCCCAGAGGAAAGCACAGACATAGTCCCCCACTAGCACAAATTATGCAGTCGAGTTTCCCACTTGTGAGGAAATCACAGGGGTCAGCACATCCAGGTGAAATGGATGAACCTCGCCCTGGAGAAATCACCTTCGTGATCATGGTATCTCTCCTGCCAGCTGAGTATAAGCTAAATTATTTTTTTAAAAAGGAGAGAGGGGAGATAATAAAAAAGAGATACCCTCTTTTTGTTAAACACAATGAGCTGGGATTGGAAATCTATGAAAAATGGGGTGTCAGATCAGTGAACTCTTCTGCTGCTGTGTGTGTGTTTATTTGTCCTTTGCTAACTCTAACTGCCCTGATGGTGCAGTGGTTAAGAATTCAGCTGCTAACCAAAAGGTTGGCAGTTTGAATCCACCATCCACTCCTCAGACACCCTATGGGGCAGTTCTACCCTGTCCTGTGGGGTCACTATGACTTGGCGTCAACTTGATGGCAGTAGGTTTGGTTTTAAATCTCACATGGAGACAAAGTAAGGAGGAACATGGGGTCAGAATAGATAAAAGGTCAGCAAAACTCAACATAAATACAAATACAAAGTAATACATTTGCCTTTGAGTGGACTCCAACTCATGGCAACCCCAAGTGTGTCAGGGTAGAACTGTGCTCCATAGGCTTTTCAATGATTGAATTTTCAGAAGTAGATTTCAGGTGTTTCTTCTGAGGTGCCTCTGGGTGGACACCTGTGGACACCTAAACTTGGATCTTGTGTTTTTCTTTGGTGAACATTGGTTGTGGTATCAGTTTGACCCACTTTAACAGACTTAAGAGTAGAAGAGACAAGATACACTCACCACAAGACTCAGGCGAGTCGTGTGTGACACCTCTATGCTTCAGTCAGGCAATTGAGAAGATCCCAGCTTACAACATAAATTTAAAGACCCATGGATCTAAGTTCCTCAGGAAGATTCAATCACCCAAAGATAGAGCTGGCAAGACTTGCCCCACTCATCTCAAGATGCTCTTTCCCTCTCCTGCCCTTGGCTGATGTATCTGCCTCCCTGCTCTTTTTGTTTTCTTTGTACTTCTAATGTCTGAAAAAGGATATTTGCTGAGAAAGTGGTTCCCCAACATGATATGGTTGTGCCATTCATCCTACCAGGGTCTCAGTGACAAGTGTGGTAATTAAGAATGGAAGAAATGCCACAGCAGGAGCAGATTGGACTAAATGAATGATGACTGGTCTAAGGAGGTTGCTTGCTTTTCTGGTGGGAGGCTCTGCAATGTTCAGAGCCTGTTGTGTACCTGGGTGTGAGCTGAAGAGACCTCAGATAAATAAATGTCTCCTTGGGGCAGATATATGATCCACATTGCTCATCGTGAGGCGCTGTCCAGCTGGTCTGGCGTCAGCGAATGAATGGCCCTTGACGGAAGCTTAGCGTTTGAACCGAGATAACGGTTTGCAGGCTCCAGAAGGGAACATTTACTATGTGACTAGAAGCTACAATGAGCCTCAAGGTGCTTTCCTCCAAAGATACTGTAGCCCAGCACCAGTGTCAAAGCACAAACCCAAACAAGGAAAATTAGGAAACAGAAATCCACAGACAATGACCTCCCCGTGTTCTTGAAAGCATCAAATGCTTCAAAGGAAAAGAAGACACTTGAAACAATGTGGGATCTCTTTTTCACTTAGGAAAAAGTACATACTCGACCTGAATATTAAAGTTGCAGGGAAGAAAGAATCAGGATTTTGTTGGCTTGGTTTTTTTTCTTCTTCTTCTCCCTATTCTCACTTTCTCTCAGTCTGAATTCAGTGCAGGAAAAATTTACTACCTTTCAGACAGAACCTTTACTGGATCTCTTTTCTCTGTCAAGTTGTAAATTACTTTGAATAGCTTTTGATGATCTTTAATTTCACCAACATGAAATTGGTAATTAGGTATGGCTTATCACACCTGAGACAAGATTTCTGGTGATACAAGCTAATTTAGAAGTAAAATATTTTCTCCTGAAAAATAAAATTTACTTCCTAATCATGAGGAGATTTATCTTGGCTCTTGCAGGGTCTTGCAAGTAAAATGAAAGCTCTGAATAAGGCTTTCTCCATTCAAATCTCATGGGATCTAGAGCTAAAAAACAGATGCAATTCATAGTAAGGAGGTTTTCAATACATATGGATTAGTCATATGGATTAATTTGTTCACAAATGACAAGCAAATTGTATGAAATACCGATTCACACAGAACACAGAACTACCTTACACTTAGGAGCTGGGCTTGGGATTACCCCCAGACAGTAGGATCAAAGACCCTGGGTCTCTGGTCCACTGTAGGTCAGGTGTTTTGCTTAAAGTCTGTTATTACTGTGAATTAAAGAAGAAATGAGGCTATTAACATGACATTTCATTCCTGGTGGGCCAAAAGTGGCAGCATCTTATTATAAAATTATTTATTTATAAATAATTTAAAATTATTATTATAAAATTAGTTGTCACCAAGGGCCAGAGCTGAGTACTGTAAATGATTGTCCTGCACAGCAGTGTGGTCCTCATTGCTATTCAGGCGCAGCTTTCCCACATCAGGACTTGTTAATAGAAAGCTAAAACCGATGCATCCCATTAAATAAGCACATAATGATGGCAGCTTATTTATAAGCAACTAGGTATTAAAGTATTTAAGGCTTCAATGAAAATGTCCCAAAAGTCAGTTTCCCTAAATATAGCAAATGCTGTATTTATCCTTGCCTGTAGATTACTTCTTTGGGGTCAGAGTGGATGGAAGGAGATTTACTTCATTGCACAGGATATTGTTCCTAGATCCATGTCTGTTAGTCCAAACAGCTTTGGGCAAATCATTATTTACTGTCACAACGCCATGAGGTCTGCAACATTGTCAAATTTTTCAACTATTTTTTGTTGTTTGAAGTAACTTTTTTTATGAGTCAACGTTGAATTTTATCGAACTGTTTTTCTCTATTTGTTGAAATCATATTTTCTCCTTCAACCTGATTAAGTTGTGAATACATTGATTAAAGTTTTTAAAAATAATTTTTTATTGTTGTTTTGAATATACACAGCAGAACATACACCAATTCAACAATTTCTACATATACAATTCAGTGACAGTGATTACATTCTTCAAGTTGTGAAACCATTCTCACCCTTCTTTTTTGAATTGTTCCTCCCCCATTGACATAAACTCACTACCCCCTTAAGTTTCCTATCTACCCTTTCGAGATACTTTTGTCGGTTTGATCCCATATAGTTCTTTAAAAGAGCACAATGCTCAAGGCAGACATTCTTTACTAGTTAAGTTAAACTATTGTTTTGGTTTTAAGAAGACTTCAGTGGTTTAAGGTATAAGGATTAAAGTTTAAAGATTCTCTCAAGGCAATAGTTTCAGGGCTTCAGCCAGCCTCCATAGCTCCAGAAAGCATAGATTCCATGAGAATTTTAAATTATGTTCCACAATTTTTCCCCTTTTGATCAAAATTCAGCTATAGCACCTTTGGTCAAAATGTTCAATAATGGTAGCCTGGCATCATTCATTTCTTCTGGTCTCATGGTAAAGGAGGCAATTGTTCATGGAGACAATTAGCTACACATTCCTTTTCCTCCTCCTATTCCTGACCTCCTTCCTCTGTTGCTCCAGGCAAATAGAGATCACTTGTAGTTTGGATAGCTGCTTGCAAGCTTTTAAGACGCCAGGCACTATACAACTAACTAGGAGGTAGAACAGAAGCACTAAACACAATATATTAGGTCAGTTAGCTGAGATGTCCCATGAAGCCATGACCCTAAACCTCCAAATCAAGAAACCAAATCCCATCAGGTGTTTGGTTGTACATAAGTGGCCTCAGCAGCTGTTTTGTTGTTGTTGTGTTGTTTTGTGTGTGTGTGAAAATATATGTCATACGACATTTATCAGTTCAACTTTTTACAAGTGTAAAACTTATTGAAATCAATTACATTAATCAGCTGTGCAGCCATTACCCTTGATCAGTGTGAATTTTCCATCACTGTAAACCAAAACTCAGCGCTCTGTAAGCAATAACAATGCCCCCTTTCCTCCTCCCTCTAACCTCTGGTAGCCACTAATAAGCTTTGGTCTCTATATATTTGCCTGTTCTTGTCTTTTTATATAAGTGAGGTCATACAGTTTTAGTCCTTTTGAGATTGACTTATTTTACTTCAGCATAATGTCTTCAAGCTCCATCCATGTTGTAGCTTGTATCAGAACTTCATTTCTCTTTATGGCTAAGTAGTATTCCATTATATGTATGTATCACATTTTGTTTATTCATTCATCCATTGATGGGCATTAAATTGTTTCAGCCTTTTGGCTATTGTGAATAGTGCTGTAGTGAACATTGGTGTACATACATCTGTTTGCATTGCTGCTTTCAAGTCCCTTGAGTTTTTAAATAAGAAAAAAGAACAGACTTGTCATTTAATGGTAGCTAACATTTATTGACAATATGTTATATGCCAGGCACTATGCTAAGAACTTCATATGTATTATATTATTTAATCATTTAAATAACTTCATATGATTATAATTATTATTATGTTTATTCTACAGATGAAAAAGAGGCCAGAGAAGGTAGGTAACTCATTGAGTGAAAACTGTGAAAGCCGAAACTTGACGGGACCGCCTTGTTTTTCTGGGTCTCAAAAGTTTTCTGCCTTTGACATTCTTATGACTTTTCTATCCTCTCTATTAGTGGAAAATGCTTGAGTTTTCCTTCTCTGACAGGTTTCCGCCTTACACAGTTTCTGGCTTTCACAGGTTTTACTGTATAAAAATCTATATACACTGTCATGGATTGAATTATGTCCCCCAAAAAATGTGGGTAGCAACTTGGCTAGGTCATGATTCCCAGTATTGTATGATTGTGTTGTCTGATGTGATTTCCTTATGTGTTGTAAACTCTACCACTATGATGAGATTATATGTGATCTCCTCATGTGTTATGAATTCTATCACTGTGATGAGGTTATACTGATGAGGTTGACAAGATTAGTGTCTTAATGCAATCTCTTTTGAGATATTAAAGACAGAAGCGAGCAGAGACACATGGGAACCTCACACCACCAAGAAAGCAGCGCTGGGAGCAGAGCGCGTCCTTTGGACCTGAGGTTCCTGCACTGAGATGCTCCCAGACCAAGGGAAGACTGAGGCATCA